TAAAACTAGTAGATCTATTGATAGTGCTGTGCACTGTGCTATCAGCTACCTATCTGTTATGTGACTCTTCAATGTTTAGAAGATCTGCATTCCTGAAGTGTTTTTGTATATTGAAACCAGTTAAATGGTCAATATTTAGCTTATTACCTTGCTCCATACAAACTTTACAAATCTAATGAATAGACTTATCAATAATTGTTTACCCAAAAATCCCTAAGTGGTAAACACCACCTTGGCCTGTTGGCCATTATTGGAGGCAATAAGTGCCCCTTTTAGTCATCCATTATGATCCATAAACTGTTATTGTTAGTAGGCTAATTGCAACATAAAAAATAACACATCAAAAAGACAAAAAAGTTGAAAAAATCAAAAAAATCAAATAAATCAGAAAAATCATGAAAAAATAAAAAAAATCATTGATTTTTGATTTTTTTGATTTTTTTAAAAAAATCAAAAAAATCGCCAACCCTGGTTGCTGGTAGAGACGGGACGTAAACAGCTTGCTTGACGTAACCCCATAAGAAATAGACACGTGGGGTGAGATCAGGTGATCTTAGTGGCCAAGATCCAGTGTAATGCCAAATCTATATTTCTATACGTCCTACCCCTACCCAACGTTCAAAAAGTGACTGATTCAAAAAGTTTGAATAGGTCTTGCGTTTGAATAGGTAAAAAATTGAATTTTTCTCTTTCCAATGGTGTATAAATTCTTTATTTTGGTGCATAAATAATTCTTAAATATATACAAATTTATAAACTTTGGTCCATCATTTAGAATAACCCTGTACATATGATACTCTAATTGAAATGATAAATACTCACCTGCGAGTAATGTTTCTCAGACGACCTGAGGCTGTGAACGTCGCCAAATCCTCCTTCGATGGGCGTTGCTGTAAGACGCGTGTCGTCGTCCGCCGCACCTGCGCCAGAAAACCAAGTTATATCGACTTGTGTCGGTCCCGGCAATACAAATATTACAAGAACATAGCGGCACTGCTGAGCAAGACTACAGTTCTAGGCAGTTGGGGATCTGTAAGCCGTCGTCCTTACGATTGATGGTCATAGATTCAATATTAATTATGCATTAACGTGCTTCGACATTTTTATAAGATCAGAATAATAAAATTCATTTGTCGATGGACGCATTCAACCAATTCAAAACAAACCCATCTCTATAACTGTATTATATAGCCTAACCTAATGTATAATGCTAATGTATACCCGATCATATAATGATCGAGTATACATTAGCACAAGTGAATAATTTCACACTTATCTCGATTGACAACTGACTGAGTTGGCAACCAATACTGAATCAAAGCAAGATCTGACTATAGCTGGAAACATGGTTGCAAGACGGTATTTTTTCGGATGAATTCCGCGATTTAAGTTTTTCTTCAATTGCGTTGGCCGGCTAAACTTTATGATAGAGGTACTTCCTAATTAAATTTTAAAAACTACAAAAAAATTATATTTTTACACTGAAACCTTCGAATATACTATTATATATGAGTTATAGGCCTTTTTTGTTCGCGGACTTGGCCATTTTTTAGGTCATCTGGCAACCCTGGCTGTAAACAACGCTCACCATTAGATCTGAGATTATGCCTGAGATTTTATGCGTGCCACCGACTCCTCCAGTACAATTCCATGATGGCCTGAATCAATTAAATTTTAATACTTATGAATCATAAAGCAACGAAATTATTCAGTGCAAAAGTTAATCAATTTCATGGAAATTTAATATCAGTTCACTCGTGTTCTCGAGGTATGCATACATCGAGGACGATGGACAAATTAAAAAAAATAATAATAATGATAAATGAATAAATAGATACTTGAGTTTTGTATTAAATTATAATTTCGATTTTGCCAAATGATTTTCTCGTTCTTGTGCAATAATGCGGGTATGTTTGTACACGGAATAGCTATTTGCGCCAATTAACTAGCCCGCAAAGGTGAGAAAAGCACAGAAGAGCGCATATTCACTAGCATTAAGTTAAAAATAACTTTCTCGAAAACTTGGTATACAATTATGGTTTTTATCTTGACACCTATCAAATGAAACCGCTTCCAAGTAATTTGCAACGAAACAATTCGATTCCATGGTTCCAAAAATCAAGTGAAAATTACTAAAAAAGAGAATTTCGTCACTATCTGACACGAAATATTTATTGAAAGTTGAAGATTAAAATGAAGATGAATTACATGAACTAAATAAGATTTCATAAGAATAATGGAGTGCAATAAAACAACTTGAAGCATCACACCGACAAACAACTGCCCTCAATCTCCTCCGGTCAACTAGCTCGATGAGGAAATACAAAAATTATTGTCAAAAAGGTACGGTCTGTGAAGGAAGAGTCTATCGAAATCTGAATAACAATAGGGCGGTTCCAGCGATTACCACACCGAGCACCATAACCTACCGAGTGAAAACAACTGACTCCATATTAATCGCAGTATTTTTTAGGCCTGCAGAGGCAAGCAGATCAGATTCAACAGCAAATGCAACCGCTGTTTACATCACATGCAGGAACAACAACAGTAATTACAAGAACAAATAATACAGCAGCAGCTGAGCCAGAGACCTCTGACATAGCAGTGTTGCAGCAATTAATAACGCATGGAAGGAAGAATCTGGCATCGTGATAGCCATTAGCCAACATCAAGGGGCTCTTCCAACCAAGAAAACACCACAAGATTGGCGTAGTTATATAAATTGCTGAGACAGAAGGAATTATCATTGTTAGGGTACGTAGTGTAATAGCACTTTTTTACAATTAGACATTTGGATTTTCGGTTTTAAGTCACCTCGGACGTGACCTCGTTCAGATAAGCACCGAAACTTGTTCATTGCTATATGATCCACCACGGAGGTACGCGTTACTTTATCATTTGGTCTGTTTATTTTTGTGATCATTTTCTGTTGCAATTTAGTGGTGATGTTTAGATTTGTTCATGATTATGGTTCTCAGTTTATAAGTTATTTATCTGGCTAACGTAATATTCTGCTTTTGTTGCTCAAATATTGCTAGTTCTAAATTCTCGCTTATTTCTTAATTTCAGAAAGGCTCCGAATCTTGAGACCGAAAGTAAGAACTTGAGAAAAGGGAACACACGGTTATATTTTGTCTATATTTGTATTTGTCGTTTGCTTATTATTGTTTTCATTTATCGTTCTTATTAATCCTTTTTTACCACTATACCCACGACATCATACTTGCCTTAACCGGGTCACGTCTAAGAGAGGATATCGAGGACGAAGAAATTGAAATGATGGCTTTCAACATTACCGAGCGGAATGGAAGGAAGGGAGAAAAACGGAGGTGTCATAGTCTAATTCAGAAACTGTGTCATAGTCTACTTCAGGAACTCACTCGCGGCAAAAAAGGGCCCGAGCATTTAGGCTCCAATAAATATTTGGAACATGTTATACTGCACATTTCCCATCTCCAACTTTGTATAGATATCGTACACTGGCCACCTGACTACCCACCGGAAAAATACAATGAAAGTCTACCCACAACTTCCTAACTGAAAGACTACAAGCTATCGTTGCTGGGGGCTCGAGATTGAGCCAGGCGAGTGAGCAGAGTGGAGTACCACAGTTAAAGGCACTTGGCTCTATCTTCTTCCTCATCCACATCGATGACATAGATGTGGCAGCTAGTAAACCACATCTCTATATCGTGGTTCACACATCAGGATACTAATGACTTTTACGGACAACACAGCCTGCGAGAGGTTGCAAGAAGACTTCTCTGCAATATATGACTGGGCCCAAGTGATTAACATGCAGGTCAATGGAACCAAGTTTGAGGTTCTGAGATGCAGAGGTTGCGGAAGAAATGGTACGGAGCGGCTACATGGCACCCGACGGCTCGGAAATCGAAGAGAAGCGACTCGTTCGCGATGTAGGAGTCTTGATGAATATGCAAGTTAAGTTTGGTGATCACTATAGCGGTAATAACCGCAAGAGGCAGGCGGCAGATGGGATAGATCTGAAGGACGTTAAGAACAAGAGAAGCGGAACCGATGAACACGCTAACTATAGTGAGCGTGTTTGAGAGCCCTAGTGATACCTCTCTGGGCCTCGTTCACAATCGGCGCAGTGCGGCAACTGCAATGGGTTCAGCGACAGCAAACCATCACTTCCAGGGTCAGTGGGATGGAGGAGTTGAACTACTGAGGAGGTATGAGCGCCTGGATCTGTACTCACTGCAGAGACGAGATAGGTATATCATTCTGAACTCATGGAAAATAATAACCGAAATGGTACCAAACTTTGAGAGCGAGACCTTCAGGATTGAAACATACCAAAACGTGAGATGAGGGAGGCTGTGCAGGATTCCCCCACTACGTAACAGATATGCCTTTAGATTTCAATCCCTGCGGGAATTATCTTTTTCTGTAGCAGGGCCGAGGCTGTTCAATGCCTTACAAACGTATTTAAGAAAAGGAGTTCACCCTGGAAACCTTCAAGAGACGACTGGACGTGTTTGTGAGCACAATTCCTGATCGTCCGTCCCTGCACCACTCCCAGCGGCATGAACTCAGCAGCAGCATAGTGCATCAATTGGTCCAAATGATGGCGGATGCGCGATAGACAGAGGGGGCGATTTATCGTGACCTGGGACTGCTACGTCTAAAACATATTCTATATATGGATACTAAGGAGAGTATCAAGGGATGTAACTACGCATCGACATAATATTGTTTGCGAATCGGAAAAACAGTATGCATGAATCCACTCGTGCCATGTTTTATTTACTGATTTATAATTGATTGATATTTATCCAGCAGAATTTTCTCAATAATCCAGGTTATCATTCGAAAATTGAGTATGTGAGTCCTGGATACGCTGAAATTTATGTTTTTGCAATTATCGATGACTTTTCGTGAACTGTAGGGAAGGTTTGTTTACAAAATCCATTGGAGAAGATTGATTTAGCATTTTTTCACCAAGAAAAACTATAGTCGGGTAGATTGTTTTTCGTTCCACCCTAATGTTCACGAGCACGAGTAATTTTCCAAGACGAATAGTTTAGAATTGATAAAAAATGGTCATTTAAAAACCATTGATACTCCCAAATAGAAAGGGACACAACATCCTACTCTCGGTAAACGCATTTTGCTTAAAAAGTAAAAAAAAAAAAATCGTCATTCAATATTCAGTGTTCCTTGCAGTGTTCACGATGAACAGCCATAAATACGGCGCAATTTCATTCATCGCCATGTAGCCTTTCCAGCTACTGAGTACTGGAGCACCTCGGACAAAAGATGCTCTCGCTTAACAATTATCTAAAAAATGAGAACGAAGAAGACAATGATCTCTTTCTCACATGTATTCTTCATATTCTTCCATGTAACGCTAAGACTGTAACGCTAAGACTAGAAAGCAAACAATCTCATTGAGTTCACAGAGCTTGGAATTGTAATTTATTTTGAGCAGGGCACTCATTTTTCGGTCGGTGGATGATTACTGTTTCACTTAATTTAGTTATGAAGATCAGCATCGTATAATTTTTTTAATTTGTGCTGGTTATTTAGAATGAAGCGATAACAGAAAAATTTGAAATTCTTCAATCTTAAAGTTTCGACGTCCATGCTGGGTAATTTTTCATCAAATGATCAAGTGTCACTTCACTTGATTCTCCCAATAAAATAGAATAAAATTTTCTAAATACCTGCTTTGAATAGACGAATAAGTTGAACGATTAAAATATTTTACGCTAAAATGCACCAACCTCTATTGGGGATCAGATCAGGATCCTCTTCTTTAGTTTCAGCGGCGGTAACTTTACTTTTGGACGGCTGTTTCTTATCTTTCTTGAGGCGCACGACGAGCACGGCGACCAATGCTATCAAGACAAGACTCCCGAGGATACCGACGACGCATCCCAAAATTTGGGCGATAGGCACGTCAGAGAAGTTATTTGCCGAGGGCTGGCCCATCACGGGGGCTATGTGTCGCTCTGTGGAATCTCTGTCAGTGTAGCCTCGCATGATCTTCTTTGCTGAGCGGCCTTTGGAGTTCTTGGCGTATATTCTGACCACAAAGCTGGTTTCACCGGCGAGACCTACGAGCTGGAAGTAAGGAGTGGTCGTCTCTGTGATGTTCAGCAATAACCTTCGAGTTCGCATGTCGATGACCTCAGCCACAAACTCTTGCTTCAGACCCCCATCATATCCAGCCTCGCAAATGACAGATAACGTTTCATTGGGTTGGTTTCTGAAGGTACAGTTCTCGGGAGCATCCGGAGGTTCAGCTGGCACAACTCTAAAGACACAAGGCTCCTGTTGCATTCCTAGGACGTTACTGCCCCAGCACAAAAGGGTCCCGTAATCTAGTTCCGACTTGACTGTGTACTGCAGCAGAGAACTGAGACCATCAGACGCGACATATTCGTCTTTGAGATCGACGACGTCGCCGCTGCTATTGAATCGCCAGCTGAAGGCCACAACGGGCGGCGAAGCCTCCAGACGACACGACACCGTGATGGTCTCCTCACGAGCCGCGCCGTACACGCGCGTCTGGTCTCCAGCGCAGGTCGGGCGGACTGCAAAACATTTGGAAAATATTCATGATAATTGTAAAAAATTTTAATGGCTTACGATCGATCAAGAAAAACTCTCTACTTGTGCTCCGTCATATTTGTTACTAATATGAAAAATGCAAATAATTATCCAAATTAATTAAGGGTAGAAGGAAAATATACCGAGTTCAATCAGTTGATGGAACTTATTACTTATAATGGTTTTTGATGTTACAGGAGGAGGAAACATGGAATTTGAATAAGAAATTTATTTCAAGAATAACAAACACTCCGCTTCATAACTGAGCTGATATAAAACTAAAAATTCAAATTAAATATGGCTCAATCGTCAGCCGGGATTTTTTAATTCTCACCAAAAAAATTAACACAGGCAACTAATGAAACGATAATCAACTGCAGAGTTGAACAAATTTCATACGCTACAAGTCAGGAAAATAGGCAATGTATTATGATTTCAGGCATGAATATAAAAGCAGTTCGATTCGTTCGGAACAACGGGTTTCTCTCACAAAAAAAAATGAATGTTCACGAAAAAAACTCTCATTGAAAATTTGGAAATAACGCTAGAATTTGAACTTTCGAATTCGTAACAGGCAGATGATTAAAAGTATAAAAAAGCCAAGAAGAGAAGACGTTTAGTACGAATCGATAACTGGTCTGAAAGGCTTCTTTGTACAACCGCTTGAGGTTGAAAAATAGCCAACAGGAGGCATGCGTGTCTTTCTGAGCACAATTACCAGCTAATTCAATCAGTGGCTCAATTCAAAAAGTATAAATTGTACGAGCCTCGACGATCTTCTGTGAAGAAGCTGCGGACCAGTGAAAAGTCGCCTTATTTATAGGCTCGGGTACTCCTAAGAGCTCATCCGCGTTGCTCATCAAAATTAACATGAGAGCTCTTCATTTGTGCTAAATAAAACCTTCGTTGAGGGCTTGTATTGATAAGGCGTCTGTACCGTTTTTCCAATTATTAGAACTAACAGTAGCGTCATATCAACAATCAACAACCGAGCTCCGAGATCACACAATAAGCGGAGTGTAAAGCATTCATCAAGCCCCACAGTCTTCTTTAATAAATTGAGTGGGACAGACAAACGCAGTCTAATAGACAAGCGTATGTGACACTATACTTCGGATCAAGAATTAATCTATAGAGCTGCTGATTCTAGAAATTTTTATTATTTAAATGATAAATCTTATAAATGTCATAGATGAATAATAATTTTAGGCGCAGAAGGTGGTAGGTAATTCAGCTACTACAAACACAAACATTAAGCAAGATAAAAAAATTGCTAGAAGTCGCGATAGAAGAGGTATTGCTATTGAGGCAAGAAATTAGCGGTGTTTGATGAACTCGTTCGCGGATTCTAAAACATAGTGCCAAGAAATCGGTCCTTTTTATGCGGGAACGCTAATTGGATTAACTGCGGCGCGAAAATGAGGAAGAAAACGAGAGAAAAGCAGCTACGCGAAGGTTACTGTAGAAATTTGATAATAATCCCATGTATTCATTGTTAACTCACATTAGGGAAGATTAATTGATTAATAAATTTACTAATAAAGTTGCAAATGAAAATGGTTCTTATTTTACTGATATACTACCGTCATATATAAATATATCAATATATAAACTAGTATTTAAATTTCAGCGTCGCATATTTTTACGAGGTTGGAAGCAGCTTAACTCGAAACATCAACACGATTTATATTCAAGTATACTGATTTCAACTGAAAATATAAAGCCACTGACTCAGATAGGCTATGTCAATACATATTCATATTTACTGAATAATTTTGAAAATACCGCAGCAGAGAACGACGGAAGTGCAAAGAAGTGCAAAGTGGCACATTTATTCAATGTCCAGGCGTTGCCCCATAAACTGGACTTGTGTGTTTTGTTAAACCATCTAACAGAAATGTAAACTAGAGTCTCAACATCATACAACTTTAGTTAGTTACACAACCTCCATTTGATTAATCAGATTAACCTCTCAAAGAGGTTACCCTCTTAAAGTTACTCTCTTACCATCTCAAAGTGTTTGAATGTACTCAAAATTATTTAGTCACTTCATGGCCGTGAACGTCCCAGTTCCAAGCTACCAAAAATACTGATCAGTCCACATGATCACTTGACGAGTTGAATTTGCAAGCCCTAAACTGAAGGTTAATGACGTGCGGTGCTGCAGACTGACATTGGACGACGAGGTTGAGGTGTTGGCTGCGGGCGTCGCCCTCGGTGTTGGCGGCGGCGCAGGCGTAGCTGCCCGCCTGGGAGCGCCTCACGCGCTGCACCGCCAGCGACTGGTTGCTCACGATCACGCCATAAGACACGTTGTGCTGCACCGACGAGTTCTGTTGTGCTAACAAATACGACTAAATGAATTTTCTCAGATTGATATAATATAATTACAAAATTAATCTAATGTATACGAACTTATCATGAACTATTATGCAATGATGTAAACAATTGCGATATAGGGAATGCAGACGATTTTTGCTTGTTAATTGGAAGAAATAAGATAGATGTTCGGCTAAAAGTATTATTTTTTACTGATATAGATTAAACAATTGTATTATTGCAAAGTTTTACTATAAGTATGATGAAGCATTCTGCAAGTCAGCTCATTAAATTATATGTATAAATTGAGTTGAATTAATTGTCGTTACTGAAATTTTCCTTTGTGAGTAGATGTTGCTGATGATTGTAAAAAATGTATATTTACATTTTCCAGCGCTTAACAGCTCAAGGTTGCATTCGAATTAGGCTTCTGTTAAAAAATATACCACTTTTATAAAACACGCAAATCGGAAACACCGAGAGAGGAAGCTGAAACTTGTAAGTCACTATCAGATATAGATAGGAACGTCACGCAGCTCGGCGTCAGTTAACACAGCCGAATTAGAGGGACGCGATAATATGCAGCCAGTCCTATAACTCCATCCTTTGTGCTCTGCGAACCTAGGAAGAAGATCGCGTGACGTCATACCAACGTACGCCGATACACATCGTGCAGACTGTATTTATAAACTAGAGACGGTCGCATATAAATAGGGAGAATATTTGTGTGCCTAAAAAATAACCGATTTAGAATTGTTCCCCAACAAATATGAAGACTAACATTTGGGAAGTACTTCAGTAACAAAAGTTATATCTATCTTGGCCTAGTTTCGGTTGTAGGGTCGAAGTATGAAGTATTCCTACTGTCGCGCTAGGAAGTAACTTTGCTGTATCACTCGGAGAAGAATTTCTTTTTTTGGGTAAAGACTAATTTAACCAGAAATCCATTAAGCGAGAAGACACTGCACAAAATTCAAATTCAGCATGCATGGCATGGTGTGTCAAACAAATACGAAAACTTCAGTGTAAAAATGTTTGAAACATGTCAATCTAAATGACCAGGAGCTAAAAAAACAGGTACTTGGACCAGTGAAAGTCGATTTTCGAAACACAGAAGTCTGAAAACGGTCATTAGATTTACATAGTAACTTTGCAATTGAGGAAGGATTGTTATTCAAGCTCCAAAGTAAATTGGATGGAATCATGTGGCATGTTTAGGTAATCGAAGAAAAGTTTGACGTGAGAGGGATGCTTGAAAATTAAAAAAATCGTCGATGTATCTATCGTAACACGTTTCGCCAGCCAAGAAATCTCGTGAAACACACAAAAATATTAGCAGAGGTTGGGCCGAGCGGAACACCCATGCCCAAACCGTCAAATAGTCGGTAAAACGTGTCTGCAAAGGTGAAAAAATTGTTTAGAACTGATAATAAAGAAGTGGTTTAAAATAATTTCGGTTCAAACCAATAACAAGGAAATTTTAAATTTTATATAAATGACCATTCATATTTTATTTAAATTTGTATATTTATATATGTGTAGCAGAGAATCGAGACAAATTTAATTTGTTTCACATTTTTATGTATTAGTAAACAAATTTTCCACGTCGATAGAGGCAATAATTAATTCCTAAACGTCGGTAAAATAAATCGAATGGTCTACGAACGTATACATGGCTTGCCTACACTATACTGGTTAGTCGCAAGACCGTTCACAACCGGTACCAGAAACGTAGAAAGTTTAAAACTAGGAGTATTGTTCACGGCAAAAATTGGTCGAAATTGAACTTTGATGAGGAATCAGAATTATAAATTTTATGCAATCCATACCAGCTAGGGCATAAAACAGAGGCGTAAAATTTAGAATAAGTTTCAAATGGAAGGGCAGATGAATCTTTGATACGATTTTTCATCGAAAATTGTGCCAATGATAAAGTTGATATCTCTTATCAAACAAATATTATTGATTCATCAGACTAGCATGCCAAGTTTGCTTCAATGAAGAGATTGAGACTGCACGACTCTGATACCATGAAAAGTATTTGGCAGCTGCCACTAGCAGGACAAGCCTGCTCTGATCAAATTAACTTGTCTTCTCACATTATGGAACCACTCGATCTTGTAAATCTTCGGATTGGACCTGATGACACACTCGAAGTATACGTCGCTGCCTTCACGTATGTTTTCGGGACTCAACGATGACCCAAGACGAACTTCCACCTGTGGAGGATCTGATGAGGAGAAAACAATTAAGCTGCCGATTACAGAAAATACACTGGCTTAAATGGCACAGTAATTATGCGTCAGGTGTAAGAAAAAGGTGTAAAATAATATGACTGGCGGTTAAGCAAGAAAAATTTCAATGCGACGTCGATTATGAGAATAAATTATTGAACGAACGAATAAACGTCTTTCATGAACAAACGTGAAAATACAGTGAGTGAAGAGGCTACAGTAAACTACCAGAACTAAAGAAAAATTAGATCAGTACTCACTGCAGTGAGTGACAGAGAGCGCATTTTCTCGTCGGTCCATGAAGTCACGGACGGACGGACATGACGAGCACAATAGCCAATTTGAGCGCATTTTCTCATTTATGGAAAAAAGGCGCTATTGTGCTCGTCATGTCCGTCCGTCTCTCCGTCTCTCTATCCGTCTGTCCGTCC